CAGCCCTCCCTCCCTCCCTCTCTCCCACTCTCGATCACTCTGTTATTCGGAATGTCCAACTCCCACTGTACATCTCCAGAGCTATTGTAACTCCTTCTCTGTATGTTTCTCTGCCTCTCGCTCTCACTTTCTCTGTTCTCTTGACTCGGGAAGTATAAATAGAGGCACTTCGAGCGCCGCGAGCTCAGTCTGTCCTAGGGGTACCTAGTGTTAACATCGAAAGTGATAGTGGCAGTGATCTGATGATTACCCTTCAACCCCTGACGTGTCCCCTGGCCAATGGAATTCATCTGGATAACCAGGATGGGATCTTCGATGCCATGATTACCCTAATTGAAGGAATGAAGTAAACAATGACGTGGCCTTCACCGAGGTAAGTCTTAATCATGACTATTATATTATTTATATGTGTTGATCCTGAAGGAGAGATCAGGCCATGGTCTAGATTCATCTGTGCGAGCTATGCATTTGTTTCCCAATTAATATTCTTATTGCTCTGGAGCCCATTACTTAATTACATTTTAAAGTGATTCAGCAAATTTGTATTCAAATACCTACAAATGTTTACAGCCTAATTTAATAATATATTGTTCAGAGATATTGATTCCTGATTCTTTCGATGACTTCAAAACTGACTTTGGCACCAGCTTTTGATACATTATAATAAAATTTAACTTAAAACCCCGTTTTGCATTTGTTTATAAACATTTAAGATTAGAGCAAGGAAAAATAAGTGCAATTATTAAAAACATTACATGTAAGGAATCAACAGTAGGACCTGATAATCACAATTGAAAAGTTTATTATTTATATATTAATAAAATATATATAATATTAAAATTATAGTCAGAAGCTTGCAACATTTCCTAACATTAGCATCAACAAACCTCCCTCCCCCCCTCTCCATCCATCATTCAATCACTCTCGATCACTATGTTATTCGGAATGTCCAACTCCCACTGTACATCTCCAGAGCTATGTTAACTCCTTCTCTGTACGTTTCTCTGCCTCTCGCTTACTCTCTCGCTCTCACAGTCTCTGTTCTCTTGACTCGGGAAGTATAAATAGAGGCACTTCGATCGCCGCGAGCTCAGTCTGTCCTAGGGGTACCTAGTGTTAACATCGAAAGTGATAGTGGCAGTGATCTGATGATTACCCTTCAACCGCTGACGTGTCCTCTGGCCAATGGAATACATCTGGATAACCAGGAAGATGCCATGATTACCCTAATTGAAGGAAGGAAGTAAACAATGACGTGGCCTTGACTGAGGTAAGTCTTAATCATGACTATTATATTATTTATATATGTTGATCCTGAAGGAGAGATCAGGCCATGGTCTAGATTAATCTGTGCTAGCTATGCATTTAATTTCCAATTAATATTCTTATTGCTCTGGAGCCCATTACTTAATTACATTTTAAAGTGATTCAGCAAATTTGTATTCGGGATACCTACAAATGTTTACAGCCTAATTTGTTCAAAGATATAGATTCCTTATTCTCTCGATGACTTCTAAACTTACTTAGGCACCAACTTTTGCTACATTATAATAAAATGTAACTTAAAACCCCGTTTTGCATTTGTTCATAAAAATTTAAGCTTAGAGCAAGGAAAAATAAGTGGAATTATTAAAAACAATACATGTAAGGAATCAACAGTAGGCCCTGATATTCACAATCGAAGAGTTTATTATTTTTATTTTAATAAAATATATGTAATATTAAAATTATAGTCAGAAGCTTGCAACATTTCCTAACATTAGCATCAAGAGCCCTCCCTCCCTCCCTCTCTATCACTCTCGATCACTCTGTTATTCGGAATGTCCAACTCCCACTGTACATCTCCAGAGCTATGTTAACTCCTTCTCTGTACGTTTCTCTGCCTCTCGCTTACTCTCTCGCTCTCACAGTCTCTGTTCTCTTGACTCGGGAAGTATAAATAGAGGCACTTCGATCGCCGCGAGCTCAGTCTGTCCTAGGGGTACCTAGTGTTAACATCGAAAGTGATAGTGGCAGTGATCTGATGATTACCCTTCAACCGCTGACGTGTCCTCTGGCCAATGGAATACATCTGGATAACCAGGAAGATGCCATGATTACCCTAATTGAAGGAAGGAAGTATACAATGACGTGGCCTTCACTGAGGTAAGTCTTAATCATGACTATTTTATTATTTATATATGTAGATGCTTAAGGAATGATCAGGTCTAGATACAGCTGTGCTAGCTATACATTTATTTAACCATTAATTCCCTTATTGTCATGGAACCCATTACTTAATTATAGTTTAAAGTGATAAAGCAATTTGTAATGATGATATCCACTTCATAGATACTTACTAATCAGAGTAAATTACTCCTCATAGTTAATTACTGATCCTAGTGAATTGCTGATCATAGATACTTACTTCTCATTGTTAATTAGAAATCTTATAAACCTTACTATTACTGATCATAGTTACTTACTGGTCATAGATACTTACTAATCAGAGAAAATTACTGCTCATATTTAATTACTGATCATAGATACTTAATGTTGAAAGATACTTACTGATCCTCTACATTTTACAACCTTTTCTGTGGCAGTTATATTATATAGTATTCCGATTAGATTAGATTAGAAGGTAGATTTTGAATCAAACTATATATATACTTTATATGGTTGGAGATAACTCCTTCACTGCGTTGCAAACTTCTGACTGAAGTTATAATACCCTGCAAGGGTATAACAAATACCAAATAGACTTTGCCAGAACTTTTCTGTTCTAAATAATTATTTAAAAGCATCACAGAAATTCTTTATTAGAAGTTTAAACAATTTTAATTCAATGATATCAAGAATATGAAAACGATTTAATTTGAATGTAATTTCTTGCCTTCATCTATCAATGTGTCGGTTGTGTTTGTGGTGAGAAATTGACTTATCTTCCCATAAAGTGCACACAAAGTGCACAGCATCCCTCAGATAAAATATTAGACAAATATGATTGAACGAGAAGGATAATAATGTCAGATATGATGACAATAATGGGTTTCTTAAAGTTAAGTTGAGCTATGCCATTTTGACTTTATATTCTTCCATAAACCATAAGCTACAACTATTATATTAAATATGATTTGTGTTTTTATCATAATATTTATAGGTTTTTCTTACTTCACAGTGCAGTGTTGCATTCTTTCTTTCTACAAACTAGAAAATTTTGCTATCACCACTGTCGTGCCTCTTATATTTGCCATCATAATTTACCACAGAATCCACACGTTCATTTGCAAATCATTTATCATAATGTCACCAACGCAGCTGACAAAGTGGTTTTCCCACACAGTACCATCTGAAGGAAAATTGAGAGGGAGGCTCGGGAAAAGTGTGGGCAATAGGATGCCACTTGCGACTTTAATAAAAGTTTTCCACAGCCTGTCGGCAAAGAAAATGCAATAGATAGTGACAGAGAAAGAGACAGAGAGACATAGCAGAGAAAACTTACAGGAAAAACACTTTTCAGTGGGTTTGTTGTTACCCAACGTCTTTCGCCAACTCATTTGTTTCTTGGATAACTTTCAAAGAGTTTGAATATTAGTCTTTGTCTGATATATATTTTATTTAGGATAACATATAAAATATGCACTTTTATTCATTTAATTTTCTTTATTATTATTATAGTCATAAATCTAATTTTTATATTTATCTTTTCATTTAAATTTACTGCAAAGAGTTGTCTTTTTATTTTATACAGTTATATCGACCCTTATGTCGATGTCTTGGGTTAAATTTTATCTTTACCTTTCATTGTTATTATTTTTAGCCTTTCTCAGAGCTCTTTCACTTTTCTCCTTCATTTTTTGCTGCTCTTGACTTTTATTTTTTCTGCTGCATAGCAAAAAAAGAAACCCAAGGGGGTGTGGGCAGCATTTACACCTCTGAGAATTTTACACCAACACGTTGCAACATTGCAACAAGGAAGAACAACAAAAAATGTTAAAGAAGCAGAAAAAGGTTGCATGCAAAGTGAGTTTGCCTGTTGAGATTTTCTAGGCTTTGCTGATGATAGGACACACACAGATACACCTCTAAGAATACACACACATCCACAGGACACACATCAGCTTAAGTGCTTCGAGGTAAAATCCTTCAGTTCTCTTAACCGCATTGCACAGTTTTCTATTGCCTACTTTTTGGGGCAGGAAAAAGGTTCAAATTCAATTAAAAAGTGACAAAGTCTACAAGTCTGTGGGAAGAGTCCGGACTTGGAGAAAAACAAGATTGATTAATAAATAAGTGTATTAAATATTTAATAATAAATTAACCATGTTAATTTGTTAATACTTAAACGTTGTGATTGATTTTCTATTTTCTTTAAAGTTTCGTTTGGACTTAACTAAATTTATAAATAATTTGGTTTGGTTATTCTTACTTATAACTTAATGTATTTTTTCCAACTGATTTTTGGTAGCAGAAGTTATTTAATTTGTGCAATGCCTGCATAAGTGCAATCTTAATGATCCCATCAAGGCAAACAAGGACACTTCACCCACTCACACTCATACTCACAGTCACACTTACACCTCTCTCCATTTCCCTCGACGTACCTTAATGGGATATAAAAAATCAATTAGCTTTCAGCTCAGCTCAGCTCAGCTCCTTCTGCAGGTTGTTCTTATATTTTTATGCCCCTTTTTTCCACTTCTCCTGCTCCTGTTCAGGCTTCATTTGCAATTATTACGCATAATTTGCAAGAGGTTGCTAATGAAAGTGTTGTGAGTACAGCCCTACACCGAGCGAAAATGGGTTTATAATTCACAAAAACTGGAAAAATTAGGAACCAGGAATTATATTACCATATGCTTTGTTCTATTTTTATAATAATTGTAATCCCGTAACTATTCAAGGTTTACTCAGCTCTCATTCCTTTTATTTTCAAGCTAACTTTAGCCCTGCTTAAATCCCTTTCTGTGTGTGCATTTATAGTAATTATGCTACGGTTTTTCTGTGAGTGCACTTACCTAGTATAACCAGTCCGTTGCCCAGGAGTCCGGCAAATCCGATAATGCCAAAGAATACCGGAACTATTGTGGAGACGATGCGCTCAAGGGCCACACTCTCGGCATCATATTCCATGGAATCGTTGGCATTGTGATCCGAGAATTCCGAGGGAAATGTGAAGCTATTGGTGCTAGTGTTGCCCCCGCTGCTGTAGCTGTAGCTTCCATTGCTGCTGGTGGCCCCCAAAGAGGCTTTTGGCCAGCCACTAATTAGACTGCCCAACAATAGCATCGACATGGTCCGTCGGCTGGCCATCTTTCCCAATATATGTGTGATTATAGAGGCCAGTTATATCAGAGGCAAGCCTCGATTGGTAAGGGTTCTTTTAATGAGCTCTCTCCCAGCTTTCAGTTGGATCTATTGTGTGGCTTCTGGCACGCCCCCTGGGACGCCCGTCGCCTGATTTGCATTTCCGTGAGTTATCTTCTCCTGAAAGAGACAAATTGAAGTGGCGCAATAAATATTTTAGATATGAACTGGCAGATACAGATGGCGATACAGATACGTGGCCATAGAGACGGCAATAAATCTGCATCTATATAGAACCTTATGGATGGATGGGGGAGGGAGCATCCCCCTCTCCACCGCCAACACATATTATAAAGGGACAGTCAAGGCCGTTGTTGTGTGGGCGATATGGTGATATGTTTTCCTTTTTTGTTTGCAAAAACTAAACGAAAGTGACATGTGGAACACAGTGGTTCCAAACTTAATTTCAACTTTATTTTGTTAATATCTTTTAATCAAATTTGAGTTAATAAATAATTTATTTTTATGTCCAATTATTTCAACAAATCATAGTTTAAAAATGTCATAGCTATGCTAAAAACGCAATAATTTAATTCGGAAAGCTGTTCGGTGTTAGTTTTTTGAAGGTGAACAAATCTGCATACTCAATTTAAAAATATTACAAAATTAATTTTTTTGACAAATTGTTTGACAATTTTAACGATGTTACCCCTTATATTTTTTTTTGAAAAAATATGAAAAATTAAATTTTTGCCGTAGATAGCTAGATCGATTCCCCTTTTGATGCTGATTAAGAATATATATGATTTATAGGGTCGGAAATGACTCCTTCACATCGTAACAAGCTTCTGACTAAAATTAGAATACCCTTGTAAGGGTATAAAAATGTTAATTTGTATAAAATAAGTTCATAGTTCATATTAAATTTTTCCAACTTTACTGAACTGTGTAACCACTGTCCACTGAATCATCATCTGCGTGAATGTGTTAAAATTATGCAAAATTAATTTAATTCCATTAGATGAACAGCGGGAAGCAGGAAGCGGGAAACAATACAGGAAATGCTGATGAAGCTGCGGGGGAGTGGACCTTGGCAAACATTCATCACATTTGCATACTTTAATAAATAACACCGAATGCCCAAATCAGGGACAGAATGATGGAATATTGCGTATACGCCACGTGCCCAGCATCAATTAGTCTCCGAAGAAGGACACTTGTACGCATGGACATGTGCACATACATAAGTAAGTCTGTGTTTCGTATTGTTTGGTGTCTGTTTTTTGTGCGTATGTGTTTTAGTTTTTGTCTTGTTTTTTATTTGATCAATGCCAGTGCATTTTAAGTAGTTTCACACTGAAAATAACACATAGTTACGATTTAAAACAATGTACAAAGCATAGAGGTGCAATTAACACGAAACCTTTTTGGAAAATATGTATAATTATAAACTCTTATATCGCTGATAAAGTATATATTTTGTATATTCACCTTATTCATAGACCATCTACTTGCAAATTCAATCGAAGTCAGTGGTGTATAAGTAAAGGCTTCGCTTGATTAAGACTAATTACCATTTGGGGTTTAGTTAAATCCTTTAATTTAACTTGTAAAATAAGGTAATATTATATGTTATCATTATTTTTCTGAGTGCACCTAATAAAAAGGGGCAGGGTGCTGGGTACAAAAGCGGGCAGCATCTAGACATACTAATCGAGGAGACATATGTGCTGTCATGTCGTGCCTGAAATGGCAGACAACCAACGCTGACAGTTGGCTTAAGCTGTCAATTAACATATTATTAAGCGGGTAAAGGAAAAACGGGGAAAAAGGAGAAAAAAGGAATGAAAATAGGATGAAAAGGGAGCGCAAAAGGGGCAAAAATAGAGCAGAAAGGGGGCGGAATAGGAGGCTGACAACCGATGGCTACTTAGAAAGACAACGCATAATTGAGTGGGCTGAGGATCAAGGAACTGCGCTTCTGCAGGTTCCAAGAAGCTTCTCAACTACATTTTAACAGATTCGAAAAGGAAAAATTAATACAATATCTTATGGCTAAATCAAATACATTCATATGCTCTGCAATCAAATTTTCCGGATTTTATTATTCATGGCAGAATTCAGCTGGCTTTAATAGATTTTAAATTCGTTTTCCCATTCCGCTTTTAAAATACCAAAAAGTATGCTGTCGCGCAAGCGCCTAAAGCCTTTCTAGTATCTAGTATTTTCATCCCTTGTCTCCGCCTCTCTTCCTCTTCTTCGCCGTATTAAAAGCTGAGCTTACGCACAACTGCTGTAAGCGCTCGCTCTCAGTGCATCGAAACGGTGTTTTGTGCTTTCCCTACTCTGCACCCTCCCCTCTCCCAGTCGAAATAATGCCAATCATTTGGCTTCAAGAGTTGAGTTAATGCGCAGGTGAAAAATTACAAGAAGTGAAATAATCAAAATTGGAAGCCATCTGACATTGTATTTAAAAGTGAATAACTTGTGAAGTTTACAGATTACATATCCCAGGTATATGTTGTTAGCATAGTTTGGGCTCAGGTGTTTTTTTAGGTGCAGCTCAACTTCTTATCAGCAAGATCAGGTTACATACATATATGTAAGCAGCCGTCTTGATATCCAAATTTAGCAGCAAGCGCACATGCATACAAGTGCATATATATATATATATATATATACTGGTGTATGTATATATTGAAGCGATGATGACTGTGCTGTTGGAGCAAGAGTTTTACGATCTTCTGATTATGTGAGTATAACTTTAAGTATAAGTAGCTTAGATTTGATTTATTTGTTATAATTTTATTATACTTATGAATTATGATTTAATATCTTATATTACACTAGCCAAAATATTGATTTGAGCATAGCGTGGGCCTAGGTGCTTTTCGTTTTGCAGCTTAAATTCTTATCAGCAAGATCAGACTACATACATATATATATGCAGCCGTCTTGCTATCCAAATTGAACACCTGGGAAGATGCATACATACATACAAGTGTATGTATATCAGTGCTGCTGGAGCATCAGTTATACGATTTTATGTGAGTATACGTATAAGTATAAGTAGATTAGATTTGATCTTTTTAATTTGCATATTATCTATATATATAATTGCAGTTGTCAATACATTATTTGATTATTTGCTTATCTTAAACCATTTACTTATAACTCTTTATTCTAATTTCGATTTAGCATACTCTACCTTAATTAAGCAGCAAGTGCACATACGAACAAATTTATATATGAAGATTGGTGTATGTATATACTGAAGCGATGATATCAGTGCTGCTGCAGCGAAAATTAAACGATCTTATGTGAGTATTAGTATAAGTATTAGTAGTTTAGATTTGATTTATTTGTTATAATATTTTTATATATATGAATTATGAACTTATTCCTTATATTGCACTAGCCAAAATATTGTATTGTTAGCATAGTTTGGGCTCAGGTGTTTTTTCAGGTGCAGCTCAACTTCTTATCAGCAAGATCAGACTCCATACATATATGTAAGCAGCCGTCTTGATATCCAAATTTAGCAGCAAGTGCACATACATACAAGTGCATAAATATATATATTGGTGTATGTATATATTAAGACGGTGATGTCAGTGCTGCTGGAGCAACAGTTTTATGCTCTTCTGATTATGTGACTATAACTATAAGTATAAGTAGTTTAGATTTGATTTATTTGTTATAATTTTATTATACATATGAATTTTGATTTAATATCTTATATTACACTAGCCAAAATATCGATTTGAGCATAGCTTGGGCTCTTAACAGCAGCTTAACTTCTTATCAGCAAGATCACACTACATACATATACATATGTATGCAGCCGTCTTGATATCTAAATTTAGCAGCAAGTGCACATACATACAAGTGCATATACATATATATACTGGTGTATGTATATATTGAAGCGATAATGTCAGGATGCTGCAGCGAAAGTTATACGACTTTATGTGAGTATAAGTATAAGTATATTAGATTTGATTTATTAATTTGTACATTATTATCTATATGAATTATGATCTTATATCTTATATTATACATGCCAAATATTAATTGATTATTTTTTTGTCTGGTTTCGAACCATTTACTTATGACTCTTTATTCCGATTTCGATTTAGCAACTCTATCTAAATTCAGCAGCAAGTGCACATACATACAAGTGCATATACATATATATACTGGTGTATGTATATATTGAAGCGATAATGTCAGTGATGCTGCAGCGAAAGTTATACGACTTTATGTGAGTATAAGTATAAGTATATTAGATTTGATTTATTAATTTGTACATTATTATCTATTTGAATTATGATCTTATATCTTATATTATACTTGCCAAATATTAATTGATTATTTTTTTGTCTGGTTTCGAACTATTTACTTATGACTCTTTATTCCGATTTCGATTTAGCAACTCTATCTAAATTCAGCAGCAAGTGCACATACATACATGTATATTGGGAGCTGAGCTGCTGCTGCAGCGAAAGTTATACGACTTTATGTGAGTATAAGTATAAGCATAAGTAGATTAGATTTGATTTATTTGCAGTAATTGTATTATATATATGAATTATGATGTTATATCTTATATTGCACTTGGCAATATATTGACTATTTTGATATCTGATTTCGAATCATTTACTTATATCTCTTTTCCGACTTCGATTTAGCATACTCTGTGGGAAATTGTTATATATATACGTATTATATCGAAAGGATGTACATCTCCTTATCTAAACTGAAGATCTACAGCTACACATCGATGGATTTCATGTAAGTACGGCATAGCCGAGTTTATATTTAATAAGCCAAGTGAATATATAAACAGATACCTGCTAAAACCTAAATATTTATTTGAAAATATATATAAACAATAGTTCTTATAAACAGTATTCAGTGTTAAGGGGCATTTGACTTAAAATATCATCATAATTAATTTTTGAAACATTAGTTTTAGTCAACAAGAATTGGTTAATGTTGTTTAAATGGGGTATAAATGAAATATTCTGAATTCTTGGGGAGGGTAAGGCATCTTTTATTACAACCCAACAAACGGATATAATTTATTCAGATAATATCTTGAACTTTACTTTTCGTAATTGTTTTTCGCAAATTACGAGTGACAGGCTGAGTTATTTGCTGTTTCCATTTAATTAAAT